TTTTTTTTTTTTTTTGGTACAGGGGATCAAACTTGGGTCCTTCTGCTCGCGAGGCAGGCACTGGAACCACTGAGCCAAATCCTCAGCCCTGCAACTCACATTTTACCACCACATGCTCTGGATCCTGTATTTAATGTTTGTCTTTTTGATTTTCAGTCTTGCTTTGGTCCAATTCTTTTCTATCTTCCTATTCCTCCCTTTTAGAATGGGAATATTTACACTGTCCTTTTGTGTATTGGAATTATTTAAGTGTCCCTTTTATTTTTTACAGGGGCTCACAGCTAAATGTTTCCCTTGAGTTTCCAAAGAGATTTGGACTTGGACTTTTGAAAAATGCTTTATTATGGCTTGTGTCTAGATGTCTGCCCGAAGCCTCATGCAGTCATAGGTAGGGCTTTTTCAGAGGTGGCCAAATCTAGAGTATGTGATTTATGGTACAATGCTTGGATTAAGGGTGGTGATTACTAAATCAGTGCACTAATCAGTTTGGCACCACCCTAATCCTGATAGCCTGGATTGTCTTGTCCCTTGCTTGCTTTCTTTGCTGCCCTCTACCTGCCATGAACTGTTTCTCCTCTGTGACGCCTGACTGCCATGCCAGCCTGCCTTGAAGCCAGCAGATTACGGACTGAAACCTCTACAAACTGACCTAAATAAACCTTCCCTCACTTAAGTTGTGTTAGGTATTTTGTCTCAGTGACAAGAAAAGTAACGAAGACATGCTGGTACTCTTAGTTTTTTTTTCTTCTCTCTCATGATACAGTCATACCTCAGGTCGTGAACTTAATTTGTTCCACAATTCTAGGGAAGATGCCTACATCTGTGTTCATCACTTGATGCGGAGTTCAAGAACGGAAGCAAAATTTTGCTAAAAGTTGTTGCAAACCAAACTGTCCCCGAACAGAAGCATTTGTGAACTCAGGTATTATTATACTTTTATTTTTTATTTAACATTTTTATTCATACATATTTGCAGTACACAATGATTACATTTATCACGGGAGTTGGTCCACGCACAGAACACATCTTAATCTTTTTACTCCCTCACCCTTCCATCCCTTCCCCTCCCATCTCTTGGGACTCTTCCCATTTTCCTTGGCTTTTAAAAGGTACTTCCGCTAGCTACAGAATTCCAGGTTAACAGCACTCCACACTGTTCCCTTAGTACCTACTGTTTCAGCACTATCTTTAGAATGGAATTGTTATTAATGAGAAGTCTATCATTCTTCTCTTTGTTCATTAAGCTCCCCTCCGTTATTTTAAAGGTGGTCTCTTTATTCTTGGCTTTTAAGCAGCACTGTGGGGTGTTAGTAAATGTATAGAACACATCTTAATTCTTTTTACTTCCCCTTCCCTTTTCTCCCTGGGCCCCCCAGCATCTCTTGGTCCCCTTCCCATCTAGGACAAAACTTTTTAAGTCTATCCAATGTGTTGTAAATTACGAGATCTTTCATTCTGATGAGTGGTAACAGAAACTACCCCTAGTCTCACGAAACTCCTCCAATCCTGTTGAGTGGTTATCGGCCTTGGATGGCTTCCTCAAGCACAAGCTAATTAGTACTCAGTCGAAGACTCCATTGGTAGCCTCTGAAGGTCTCTGCTGGTCTCTTTCATTGAAGGTTTCTCATGCCTCGTACTTTCCCCTTCTCAGACTCCTGTCTTCATCTCCTCAGCATAAGGAGATCATTAGGGTATTCCCAGATTCTTCCTTCCTGTCAGGGCATCTAGAGAACTTACTTCGTTCTTTGTTGTTTAATGTCTTGAAAAGTATTTTTCAATATATTTTTCTCAATGTTTAGTTGTTTTAGTTTGAGAATTAACCCAGATCCTGTTATTTTTATCATGGCCAGAGGCTGATTTTTCTAAAACAAAAAACATATCTTTGGGCTCCATAGTCTTTGATTATATTTTTATATGTATGGTGTATTTATAATTGTGCATAGTACATTACTGAGTATTTCCTGACAAGAGAAATTTTGGGTAGGCATTGTTGAGAAATTAATTTGCTACTTATAATTAGATGTCTAAAAACTGGAAGAATTTTCCATGGACCACTTCTGGCTCCACACATTTAAAACCTTATTTCTCCTCTACTTCCACTATACTTTTAGTGCCAGGTACAATAAAATATAAAATACAGTCTTTGACACTGCTTCTTTGTGTCTTGAGGCAGCGTAGTGATTGACAGGAGCACTCCTAGGAGCTACTCCTACACTGGCTTTGCTAGCAAAAGCTCAGATATCTGTGGATAACTTAAAAACAGTCCCTCTTGGCTAGGGGAATAGCTCATTGGTAAAGCAGGGGCTTAGCATGCCATGGTCCTGAATTCAGTCTCTAGCACCAAAAAAACAAAAACAAAAACAAAACAAAACCTTCCCCCCAAAAGGCGCCCATTCAATTAAACTTTATCTGAAGTCCAAAAATGCTTGTGGCCACTGCTCCAAGGCCACCCCACATGGGGTAAAATATGCTATAGGATCAAGAGTGGAAAGAGACAGTGTTAACTGATTGCAGTGAAGATGTCTTACTTCTCTCTGCAATGTTTATAAGGATACATAACACATTGTTTAGGTCCTCTGGGCACTGGAAGGGGCTATACTAGTGGTGGGCATAGGCCTTGGACCCTAAACCTCACTAACTTCATGGTAAGAGTGCTTTACCCCATGACGCCTCCTTGGTTCAGGGGCCCATCAAATAGAGTCCAAATGCTTTCCCTGGGCAAAGCATGCTCTTCCTTGTGCCCCGGTACCTCTCCAGATTTATACTCCCACCCCAGGCTCCTCTCTGGAAATACTGTACCATGCTCAGTGGTGACATGGTGCCCTGTTCGCGCTACTCTTTGTGTGTGTGTGTGACTGCATGTTTGCTGAGGGACTGAACTTAGTTTCATGGTATCTGTTATTATCTGGAATTCTCCTTCCCACTCCCTCTCTCTCTCTCTCTCTGAGGGATGAACCCAGGCTCTTCCTACTGAGCTGCTGAGCTACATCTCAGCCCCTTTTTAATTTGAGACATAGTTTAGCTAAGCTGCCCAGGCTGGGCTTGAACTTCCAGTCCTCCTGCCTCAGTGTTCCAGAGTGCTGGGATTACAGGTGTGGACCAGCAGGCCTGGTTCCTTTGTTTCTCTCTCTTTTTTTTGGTACCGGGGATTGAACTCGGGACCTTGTGCTTGTGAGGCAGGTATCAGAACCACTGAGCTAAATCCCCGGCCCTCCTTTGTCTCTTCCTCACCTGGGAGCATCTATCCCTCCTTCAAGACCAGGACAATGCATTCCACATTGAAACTCAATATGCTATAAAATTAATAGGCACTAAATTTTAAAAAGACCAGGACAAATGTCATTTCCTCTGTGATTCCACTTGGAGTTAAGTGTGCAGTCACTGCTTGTTTTGTTTTGGAGACAAGGTATTGCTAAGTATCCCAGTCTCTGAAGTACTTATTCTTATTATAGTCCACATAATGCCATATTTCATATTTGTCTCTCCCACTGACATCTAAAGCCCTCAAAGGACTGTGACTTATTTATTTCTCCATCCCAGTGCCTAGGTCATTGTCTTGCACCTAATATGAACTGTGGCATGGACGTGTGGGTCGATGAACTCCCTTTTATTATTCCCAGATTGCTGGTTATTCCTTACTTGGTTCATTAAGAGTATTGTATTTTACAGCACTGACAATATAGAAAAAGCAAGACATTTTTGAGGCATGATTAACTGGACGAGTAGATAAATGCTGGTCATCTTGGCCCGTCTTTAGCAGCCACTGAACATCTACTATGTATCAGTGCTTACTTCATGCCAGGGACCAGTTTCTTACGTTTGCTCATCTTAAGGCTCACAACAACCCCATGAGGTGTTTTTTGTTATTTCTTCCTCTTTTCACGGTCGTTTCCAGGGCCACGCTGCATGCCCCAGCAGCTCTGAAGCGTGCCCTCCCTGGCTGGGTTTTTCCCTGAAGGAGGCGGGTGTGCGGCCAGACCCAGGCGGAGGAGTCTACATGAACCGCCAGGGGGCGCGAGGAGTTCAGCTTTCGGAGGAAGGGCGGGGCTGCCAGCGGGAGGCTGGAGACAGAACCAGGCATCTTCCGATCCGCGAATGCACGCGGTATAGCCTCCTTTCCCCGCGGCACAGAGGACAGAGGAACAGATAATCCACCCAAAACTTTCTATGGGCTCGGAACAAAACCCTAACGGGGAGTCTCACATACTGTCTCGTTTTACCGATGCCGAGATAGAGGCTTGCAGGGGCCAGAGTGACAAAGCTCTTTCTTAATGACGTTTGCTGGCCAGATGCCTCTCGCGTCCCCTAGCTGTGTACAGAGTGTAGACATACCTTCGTGGTGCCAACCAAGACCCTCCACCCTCTTCTTGTTTAAATCAAATGATTCTTCAATCTCTCATTTTTCCTGCTCGGTGGAATCTTTTAGGCACTTGGAACCCTGCTACTATGAACTGCCCAGTACATCGCAATATGTTAACCTCTTAAGACTTGTTCCACCGTCAGAGTAGGAACTGTAGCCCTTAGCATGGTGTCTGGCACACAGTCAGCACTTAATACGCATGTATAGAATGAAGGGGCAGGCACAGCAAGTACCCGCCTCAGCCTAGCTCAGGGCTGCACAGAGCCAGCAGCAACAAATACCTGAGAAACAAGCAAATGAGGATTTAATAGTGTGACATTTCTATTCTGTAGCTAGCTGGGACTGCCAACTCCCGGAAGGCAAAGATGAGGAATGTGGGTGTGTGTATGCGGGGGGAGGAGGTAGGGGAAAGGAGGCACTGGGCAGGGAGCAGAGCTTTCCCATGGCGAGAATAAGGCCCGCATAGAGAATGAGGGAGCAAGAGATGCCAAGATCAGAGTTAGAGCAGAAGGAAAATGAGCCCTGAATGGAAGCCTTGTGTGTGGCCCTGTGATGCTGACTCACCAAGACTCAGGAGAGGGAAAACATGCAGGGGATGAAGAAGGGGCCTGTGTGTGCTTTGCCACCACCCCCAATCCACCCTGCCACCCCGAATCCCTTTGGGTCAGAGGTTTTCTGAGGACCCCCTGCATGTTCTGAGGTACTGACTGTCCTGGAGGGTTTTGATTTGAGGTGGGTGGGCGGCAGGCAAGAGAGGGGGCACTACCGAGAGGAAGATAGATCCGCTTTGGGAACGCAAAGGCCACTCCGCGGGGAGATGTGCGCCTGCAGCTGTAGTGGAAGCGGAGACCAAGGAGGCCCTGCTCCTCGCTGAGTGCCCCTCCTCCACAGGCAGGCGTGGCAAGCCAGACTCCTGTGCAGGGAGGGCGAGATGCCCACACTGTGGATGTAAGGCATCCTTATGAGGAAGAGCCTCCAGCAGAACAGATCCACCATCCTCCCACCGTAACCCTAGCTGTCAGACCTGTCCAGCGATGTGAGGACAGGATTTTTGTGGCAACAAATGTGGCAGTCAGCCAGAGGCCCAGCAGAGGACAAGGCCTGGAATTCAGGGCAGCCAGGTGACCAAGATCAAAGCCAGACCTGTAGGGAGGTAGATGAGAGGAGGCAGGAGTGCCTGGGGGAGCCGAGGGAGCTGCTGCTGGAGTATCAGGTCAGGTCAGGAGCAGTCCGATGAAGCAGAATGAGACTGGCGGACTGACTTGGGAGTGGAAACTCCGCGTGAACTGGAGATGTGAGCGTGGGCAGGTCACTGCACTTCTTCTAAAACTCAGTTCCAGTGTGTCCTGTTCTAGCTGAAGATCTCCACAGCTACCCAGCTAACCGGTGGAGTCATACTTAGGTATACGACTGACAATAAGCTCATATCCTAACTGCCCAAGTCTGTTACTGCCTGTAGCACCCATGCTAAGCACGTGCCTAGCACTGAGCAACACCTCCAGCCCTTGTTACTGTTCTGAAACTAGTGTGGCTGGCAAAAGGAATGTGGCCTTGAAAGCCACATGGCTAAGGATGTGAATCCTGGCTATGACTGAATTTCAGGCCTGTTGTTCTGTCAGGCGTTGGGTAATTGTTGTGTCACAGCAGACTTTGCATTGGAGACTGAACCCTACCACTGAGCTATTCTAGCTCCAATCAACCTTTTTCATTAGCTGTGTAGATTAAGTGAAGTCACACATTAAAATGCTCGATACAGAGTTTGGCACCATATAAACTCAGAAAAGGCGCCCTCCCTCCCCCAGAAGACTTGTGAACAAAGGGAACAGAGCAGACTGGGATGGAGAGCAGGGTGGGCAGAGGGAAGAAACTGAGCTGCAAGTCTTCAACAGAGGTCTCACCCAGTCCTACAGGGCGTTCAAAAGCTGGGCTAACCCTTCCAAGTTCTATTTGGGAGAAGGGGGCCCACATACATTCTGATCCATCTTGGGAAGTAAGCGGTGCACGGCACGATGTGACCTCAGTCAAGTTGATTTTTCAGTTGAGACAGATCCTGTGAGGGGCTACAGCTGAGTACAGTTACTATCACCACTCCCTGCACCTGGGGAAATACATCCTTCATTTCTGAAGGGACGTGGTAGCACATCCTAGTGTCTAACGCAAGAGTAGTTTTCAAATCCAGGGCCAGACATATGCTTGGCAAACTCCACCAATGAGCTGCATCCCCAGCCTGAGTAGGATTCTTGTCAAATTAAGAAGGTGACTTCTCAGGATAAGGCCTATCTTGATCTGACACCTCCCGGGAATTTTTCAGTGCCAAACATTTAGCAGCGGTGTGGATAGAGCCACAGGACACTTGTCTCCTCCAGTCTCCCAGCAAAATGAACACTGACATTTAGGAGAGAAGAGCAGAAGCTGCTTTCGCATCCCTCAAGGAAGTCAGTCACCTTGCAAGGGTCACCAAAGGACTGATTTGATTCTTTTCAAAGTGTAATGTTCATTTCTCTCATTTGCCTATGGAAATTACAGGGCGTGAAGGGCAACAGGTAGGAGACATTTATGGGTCATGTCATCTTTCTAAGTCCTCCCTACAGATTACCATGGGAACTCCTCCTTATACCAGGCCCAAACCTTGTGGAAGTCACCCACTGGGGGCTGTCTATCTCAAACAGGACTTGAGTTCTTTCTGTACCTGTCTGATCTCATCTTCAAACCAGTACAAGCCAACTGAATCATAAAGCAAACACAGGCAGATAATGCTTTCAAGAGAGAAGACATGTTTGCTACTGGGTGTGGCGACACAGCCCTGTTATCCCAGTTTCATGGATGGTGGAGGATCAGAGTTAAAGACCAGCTTGTGGTAAGTAGGTAAGAACTTGTCTCAGGGAAAAAAACAACAACCTCCCCTCAAAAGAAAGAACCTTAAACAAAACCACATTCAGGCAGGGTGGTCCCTGTCTGTAATCCCAGCTACTCAGGAGGCTAAAGCAGGAGGATCACAAGTACTCAAGGCCAACCTGGGCCAATTTAGCAAGACCTAGTCTCCAAAGATATATAGAAAAGTTTTGGAGGGCAGGGGTAGGGGGAAAAAATGAGAATCAAGATTTGTCATGTAGAGGTACAAGATCCCAACAATGAATGTAACTGTACTGTATCCCTAAAATGTACCAATAAACTCAATTAAAGCTGAAAAAAAAAAAAAAGCACCCCTGGGTCTAATACATAGTACCAAAAACAAAACTTCTACTTATTTATTTGGTGTTTCATTGAGGTAAGATCTTGCTATTACAGCCCAGTTTGGCTTCACACTCACCATCTTCCTGCCTTAGCCTCCTGAGTACTGGGATTATAGGGATGTGCCACTAGGCCTATGCCAATCAGGCCAGTTTCAGCGGCATAATTTCTCTCATTTAATCCTTCCAAAAAAAGTGACCTGAGGTTAATCAATTCATTATTTTCCTATTATTCCGTCCCTACCTTACAAGGAAAGTAACTTTGAAATGATCAAACCCCTTGTTCTTTGTCCTCTGCTCAGCCTCTTGGAAACATTTATTCTCTTTTATGAAAAGGGTGTTGCCTGCCTCTATAACTACAAATGAAGCCAACTAAATTTGTTAAAATTTTGTCTTTTAACTGTGTTAAACTCAAACTCCTAAAACTGGGAGGATTTATGGAGCCTTTACGAAAACAAAGGACAAGACATATTTTCTTGCAACTAGCAGCAGAAGGGCTGGGCAGCAGTTCCAAAAGGTCCATCTGGCCTAGAGTGAAGATTTCTATAAACTTTGGGGAAGGCAGGTACTGTTTACATAGAACCTACATGGGCTGTGTCTGTAACAGGGGCAGGACACATGAGGAAAGCTCTCGGATTGGAATGCAGTCCCTAAGAAGTAACCTGCTTCAGGGTTGGCTGGCGTCAACAGTCCCGAGCTTGTCTGTTACTCACCAAGGCTTCCTGTACAAACCCCTTATCCTTGCCAACCTCATCAGTACCCTGGGAATAATATGCCTCACAGTGCATTTGTGAGGATGAGTGATGTAGTACGCATGTGAAATCACTAGCATGGTTCTAATACCCAGGTAAGCACTCTTCACGCTGAGTTATCACTGGCATTCAGGCATACCAGTTTCAGATGCTTAAGAAATCTCCTTAGGTCACAGGCAAATAAATGGTGGAAACACAACTGAAATCCCCGGAACACTACCAAAATGTGACCTGGGTGTGGTGGCACACGCCTGTAATCCCAGCACTGTGGGAGGCTAAACAGGAGGGTTCCAAGTTTGAGCCCAACTTGGGCAATTTAGCAACTTAGCCAGACCTTGTCTCAAAATAAAAAAAAAGAGAAAGGGCTGTGACCTAGTTCATTGTGAAGGCCCAGGGTTCAGTCCCCAGGACTGACCACCCCGAGTACTCCTGTGCAACGCTTTGGTGAGCCCACTTCTGATTCACCATGAAAACATCTATTTTTGTTTTCTTTGTGGTGCTGTGGATGGAGGGCCTTACATATGTTAGGCAAGCACTCACTAGCTGCACCCCAAACCCACATGTTTTATTTTTGTTTTCTAAGACAGGGTCTCACTATGTAGCCTAGGGTAACCTGAACTCTCAGTTCTCCTGCTTTAAGTCTCCCAGGTGCTGGGACAGACATGTACCACCATGCCCAGCTCACACATCCTATTTTGCAGTCAGCATTTTAAGATATTTGAAATTCTGTTGAGGATGCTGCATCAGAAGCACTCTTATAATTCTCTCCCTCCCTCTGTCCTTCTCTTAGCATTGAGGCAGCACTGGGTCTGCTGTGGGAAACCGGATGTACCTAGTATTTACTGAAGTGATCATTAACTGGCTTAAATGCTAGAAATGTAAGATATGTAAACAGTCATACTGTTTGAACATCAAAGGATTTTCAAGTGCTTCTAAGTGGCTACAACTGGCATTGCAAACACAGCAGCAATGCACTGGACTAGGAAACACGAGATGCAGTTGTTTGTGAAATGAAGGAGCAGGACAAGATCAAGCTTTTTGTTTTTTTGAGACAGTCTCCCTATGTAGTCCAGGCTGGCTTTGAACTCACAGTGATCCTCCTGCCTCAGCCTCCCAGTGCTGTAATTATAATGTACGCCATCGTGCCTGGCACGGTCAGGGATTCTTAAAGTGTAGTACACGAGTCAGATGAGTTCAGGTCTGTGGATTCTGTGAGGCCATCAGTTAAATTTTGCATATAGGCATATTTTTCAGGCCAAATAGCTTTTCTTAGATTTTCAAAAGTCTGGAATTCCTTGGACAGTCATGATATATCAACTTGGTTGGATTAAGGAATACCCAGAGATTAGGAAAACACACTTCTGGGTGTACCTGGGTTGGTTATGGATGTGTGACTTTTTTTATCAACACCGTTATCTGCTGTTTCCCACCTGCTCCTCTCTGGCAATGTTCAGGACCCTGCTCTACTTCCAGGCCACCATGAACTTAAACTTCTTTGCCCTGCCACCCCCTGCTGCTATGGTGTTTGTGCCTTGGAACCAGGAGACCATGAACTGCCTGAACTGAATCACTTGGCACTGTGAGCCAAATTAAACTTGTCCTTAAATTGCTGGCATTGGTATTGTATCTCAGCGATGGGAATGCGAATACAATTTCCATGTTTTAAAAAATTACAGACTATATTATTGCAAATGTGGTTCCAAATAAAAGCAATGTCCCAGTTCCTTATGGGGTCTACTCTGGATGGGTGCGTTGACTTCATTTATTTTTTTCAAGGCCATTGTAAAATCCTCCCTCAACATCACCCATTCCTTCCCCAACAAAATATGCCCCAATTATGCAAAATTCTTCATCTTGTACAAATAAGACTATTTTTCCTCAGACAGTATAATTTAACTTGTTTTAATGTAATCTGCTATAAAAATGAAGGGCGATTTCTGTGTGGTACATTTGGCTTTACAAATGTTAAGGACTAGTTAATGCTTATGTTATATGTTGCACATCATTAAAATCCGTTGACCAGTAACAGCTTTTTCAACGTGGGTTAATACGGAAATTGTGAACTGTGGAATTTTTAAAGCACACACACACAATCTATAGCAAACTTAAATACTAAGCTATAATACCTAACTAAATTATTGGATCCACTGAAGGATTGTGCTTATTTATCTCAGAAGATAGGCAACTAGCAAAAATACACATTTCTTTTGCATACCCCACCCCCGTATTACATTGTAAAAGAAATACATTATTCAGTGCACTTCCTAAGAAATAAAACTCCCTTATAGCATCTCTCTTTATATATATATGTATCCAAAAACAAAGGAAGAGCACAATGCAACTTTTAAGATTACCATTTAAAGCAAGACAGGTAATAATACTCTAGCACTATAGTCTCCCTTGTGTTTAGAAGGTTCAGAAATTTTATCAACACTGTTCATTTTGACTATGCAATGGGAATAAAGTTCAATGCATGACTGCTTTGGACAGTTTCAGATACCTCCTACGTCACTTTTGTAAACACTCTGGGTACCAGAGGCATTTAAATTTTTGCCTTTAATCAAACTACATGATAGAGTCCTTGGTATATTCCTGTGTGATTTATGCATTAATTTCTATAACCTGCTTTTCCTTCATCAACTCATACTGGATTAAAAGGAAACAAGACTACAGCAGGTCAGGAACTGCTGGATGGACAATGGTCAAGGGAATGTGTACGCGAAGACACCAAGGCCTCTCTCTCTCCTTATGGATATAAAAATCATATAACCACCGTATCTGAGCTGGGTTGTAACATCCCTGGTCAGAAGAGTGAGACAGTTATATTCCATGGACTTGATCATGTACGTTAACCTACACAGCTGGAAAGTCCAGAGGTTTCTGTCTGTATAAATTCACCATGATTGAAATAACACAAGTTTCTAGAATGAGAGAAGTTGCAATTTGGCAGCTTGCAAACTAAATCCAGCAGAAGCGTTTAATTAGCAGCGTTAAAAAACTTTCTTTGAATTAGTTCTTGATATTTAAAAAATGAGAAAGTCTCTCATGAAAATTTGGACATCATAAAAACTTGAGCTGGTAGCCCTGGTCCAGCATTTGTGCACAGCAGGAGTCAGCTGAAGCAGAGCAGAGAGGCCTTTAAAAGGGAAGGGCTGCTCCAGACCGCTGCAGCTCCCACCCTCTGAGTTACCGGGCACCACTGGGGGGAGCGATCCATTTCACTCTGACCAGTTAGGTTTTGTGCCAGCAGCATTAGTTTAGCTGTGCCTTTTTAAGATGCTAAAGACTTGCGCTTCCTTTGGAACTTTCCCACCTCCCCACGGAGGAGAGTCCTCCTTTGATTGATGGGTCCCAGCTACACCCAGCTGCTTTGGTAGGTAATCTTAACGTGCAATTCTACTTGTCCTTTATGCTATCTCGCAAACTCCAAAGACATAATCACACTAACAGTTATGTGTTTAAGTGTATGTTAAACACATAACAGGGTACGTATCTATACAGATATATGTATACTGCCAATTAGGCAAAAGTTAATTTGGTTCCACAGACACAAGTGCTGGCAGCTTGGAGAATAAATGTAACAATCTGATAAAACGTGTATAATTCTGACTGATAGTATTACAAAGAAAGTCAATTTTAAGTTATTGCTTTTTGATTACAGATTTCATTCTGCTGCAAAACTTGTACAGAACGAGCAACCATTTCTTATTCAAGTAAAAGCAATCAGAATCAGAAGTTCCTTTCACAACAGTAGATGCTTGAAGACAGTTCTGAATGGAGATGTGATTTCCTTCTGCAGGAACTGGGAGTGACTTAATTTTTTAAAAGTACAAGAAAATCAGCACCCAACTGCTTAGTGCTCAAGAGGGTTTTTCAAGGGCTCTATAAAGCTCAGCTTTATGGAGGATTCATACCCATTGTAAGAAGGGTTCCCATTCTATTTACGTAGCCTTGTTTCAGAACACAAAGCATATATTAAAAACAGTAAAAGAGAATTAAAAGCAGCGTTGGCTTTTAACATTCAGAATTCACATAGGATCTCATTTTCTGTCATTATTGATCCATTTTTTGTTTTTGTTGCAGAGTCACATTCACATGGCAGTCTTATTTCAGGCACTTTTAAAACATGTTCATCTGGAATAAAAATCTGCACGAAATACTTCTGCATTATTCAAAATGAGTGTTGAATAATTCTAGTCCCAAAATAGCAGATCACCACCTGGTACTCAATTAGCTTTCTCCATCACAAGACAGTGACTGCTGAGCATGAGATGTCTTTGAGGTGCCCTTCTAGATTCAGTACAAAGATGTGAGCCATAAAAATCCAATCTACTCAGTTTCTACTTAAAAAAATACAAAAAGGTTGAATACACTAAATGTATTTTACAGATGGTTGCAGCTACTATTAAAATAAATAACATAATCTGACTCAATGTTCTCATTCTGAGCTCTTGGACAAAACTGATGGAATGTCAAGTGTGGAGACGCACTCCCGGGAACTAGCTGCCGGTAGGCATAAGAATCTCAACGTCCTTGCCATTGGCTACCACAGCACTGGAAGAGCAGCTGCTGGCAAGGTCTTCTGAGGTGGTCAGAGAGGACGCCTGGGAATGAGTTTTGGTCAGTGGAGTGGTAGTAGATGCAGAAGGGGTGAGGCCAGGTTTTTTCGGTGGGATAGGTGGAGGGTTTCCTCTCTCAGCTCTTGGGATGGTAGGGGATTTGATTCCCGGAGATAGGGGGCTCAGAGGACTGGACACTTTCCCTGGAGTAGGTGAATGGCTGGTGTCACCTCTTGGGTTGGCCGTGTTGGCCAGATTTCGATAGTCTGTGCCAAAGGGAGAGCTGTTGGGAGAGACAGGCTTGATTGGCCCTTGGCTAGTGAATCTGGAAAGCACCTGAGTGACTGTGTTTCGGGCCAGCTGCTTGGCAGCAGAATTGTCTAAGAGGGTGGGGGACAGATCCCTGGACGGAGGGCTCTGTAGACCACTGGCCTGTTGGTCCTGATCTGCTTGGGACTGAAATTTGTGCCGAGCTGCATGGAACCGCTGGTTGATCCCTACCTGGTAGGATGACTGGTAGCCAGGGCTGCTAGCTGATGACCCTAGTAAGCGCTTAGTTAGTACTGGTGAAGAGCAAGGAGAGGATGTTAGAGAGGAGGAGGCAGTGCTGCTGGGAGATGGTGAGCTCCCACTGGAAGGGAGGTGACTAGGCATTGGGACTGAAGTCTCAGTTACTGCTGGATACCCTCCATTCTCCACTGGTTTCTCTTGAGCCAATGCCACAGATTTCTCTTGCGGAGGCACTTGATTTTCTACAATGCTGCCTGCAATCAACTCCCTGGTAGTTTGTATCTCTGGGTCACAATGGCCATTGGTTTTTGCATATGAGTAAGTAGGAGTGGTGGGACCAGGCATCCCAGTGTTTGTCACTTTGGCTATGCTGTTTCCGTGGATTCTTTCTGCCAGAACATTCTCTGTTTGGCAAAATACAGACACTAGCATGGGAGGCTCAGCTGCTGTGCCTCTGGACATGGTTACTGGTTTCTTGAGTTGGTCATCAGTGCTACTATGCTGGTGGGAAGCCTCTAGATTCTTCACTATCTTCTTCAAATTTTCCATCTCTTCTTTCAGAGTTTTCGTCCGGTTCTCTTCTCGGTTCAGTTTTGCTCTCAGTTGTTCCCTTTCGATGTCAAACTCAGACAACTGCTTTTCTACCTGGGCCTCAGTCTGCAGGCCTCGCTTCCTCTCGGCTGCCAACTCTTCCTCCAGTTTACTCACCCGGCTCTTCTCCTTCTCCAGTTTCAGGCTCAGCTCCCCTGCCTTCTGCCCTTCCTCGGCTGCCTTACTGGTGGCTTTCTTGCACTCAAGCACCAGCATGGATGACAGCTGCTTGTGGCGGGAGCGCTCCTCTTCCAGCTGACTAGAGAGCTTCTTTTGCTCTTTTTCAAACTTCTTCACTTGGGACTTTTCAAATTCCAACTAGAAAAAAACGTCACCACACATCTTGATTAGGTTAATAAAACAAAGAAACATTTTGAAAAGTTATGATCAAGTAGAGTGTCCTGGCCAGTTGTTCTCTGCTACATGGGATTATTATTATGTATGCCACGGGGCTTAGGTTAGTATTTGTTTTCTTTTTTGTGGTGCTGGGGATTGAACCCAGGGTCTTGCACATGCTAGTGAGTTCTCTATCACTGAGTTATAACCCAGCTCAGTATTTCTGAATAATTAGAACACTTAACACAGAAACTGCGCACACTGTGACTTAATCTTTCTCTGATGATTTAGGAGGCACTTCTAGTTCTCAATGGTCTCAGGGTTACCAGCGGGAGTGTGATGCACTGCGGACAGTACACAGAGCCAATCAAAACAACAGAAAACGATAAAAGTAAGATTTTGTGGTGAATGCTGCTCAGAACAAAACCTTCGGTTTCAGCAATAATCTTCTTTGGTCTTAAAGATGAATAAACATAAATAGCCACACTTGAATTACACTCTTTACACAAACGTAGTCTGTTTTGTCTTCCCATCCCTATTTCCTGCACATAGACTCTACGTGAGAGGAAAGGCTTGAAGGAACATTTTCAGACAGTGTTTTTTGCACTGTAAGACCTATTAATGGAGGAGGAAATCTGCTTAGGAAAGCCATGAGAAGAACTGTGTGTGTGTGCAGAGAGACAGAGAGAGAGGGACAGAAGGACAGAATGAGAATATCAGTGTGTACTGCAGGCAGTAAGGGTTATGTTTCATTTCCTGACACGAGAGTTTGGCTTCAGCCATGTGTGCAAGTGTACACACTAATGGCTTGTGATATGCAACACATTTCTTAACGAAGGTCCTAAGTGGAAAAGTGTGCAAGCTACAGCTCCAAATCAGTGTTCCCCAAACTGTATTCTACAGAATGATAATCCCATAATGAGCGATCCATGTTCAGAAAACTATAAAAACAGGTTTGCTAGACATGGAATATTCTCTCTTGTTCTTGAAGACTCACGATGTTATTTTGCATTCTAAAGGTGCTAACAAATTTAAACTCAGAAACTTTTGTTTAACATCGTTTAATCCAGTAGTTCCCAGGCTTGTTTGACCACAAAGCCATTTTTTGAGCAACTCCAATTTATATCCTGTAAGATAACCCCCAAGAAATGCAATTGTAGGCACATCCTGCTGTGATTCCCTCCAGCTTAATTACCTGTTGAGTCAGCCTCTCTCTCTCCTTCTCTAGCATGTAGGTGACATCATCTCCTTCAGCTGTGTCCTGGGCATGCCTCTGCCTTTCTTCCTCAAGGTCTAGTATCACCTTTAAAGAATTTAAAAAATTCATTTCCAAATATCAAGGAATCATACTTATAATACCAAATGCCTAACTGAACACTTAACATAGTTTCAGAGATTAAATAAATATATAAAATCCAGCCAGGGCAATCAAGGAGCACACTGTCAAGTAGGGTGAAAGACATGTAAGCTAAGTATTAGAAATCAAGATATTTCCTTTGGGGCTGTGGATGTAGCTCAGTGGAGCCACCACCTGCCTCTCAAGCGCAAGTCCCGAGTTTGATCCCCAGTACCCCCCCCCCAAAGATATTTACTTTGCTTGAGGTAGGTTCAGAACAGTATGTGAACAGAGAGAAGAGTAATTAGCTGTAGAGGCTGAGAAGGTTTCAGAGAACTGGCAGAAGAACATCTGGAGAACTGTAGGCTATCTGGTGTGACCAGGGCCAGATGTAGGTGACAGAGCAAAACAGGATCACAGAAAGCTAAAAACTGAGGTTCTCTCAGTGCTCAGATCACCAGAAACACCAAAAGAAGCCTGAAATTAAATAGATACTATCCCAATTGTGCCTGGCTTCATTAATAACACACATTTGTTTCTAGTTACTTAAGTGGACAGAAGACTCTTGACTTGATCCTGCCATATAAAAAAGCCCAATTATTAGGACCATAAGTGGAGATTTTCCCTAAGACCTTGTAGTTAACCTGCTTACCTCTATTCCACTTATCCTGGTGCCAAAGGATGAAGCCTAATTTTAAGGGGAACAAACTTAAAGGGACATTTTCCACATAACCTTGACTGTAAGAGCACAATACTCTGGGTGGCAGTGGATTACTCAGTAGCATCTGCTCTTGGATGTATTTTGGCCCAGATCTCCAGGGAAAGAGTATTGTTATCCCAATAGCAATGTGTCATGATTTTTCCTCATAAATATTTTTTAAGAATAGAGAAAAATTGGGGGGATGTGAAACTCTCCTTTAAAAATAAAAGTAATATTTTGATGTACTGCCCATTAAAAAAAATGTTAAAAATTAAATTTAATAGAAGGCTTTGGCTAAGGGTAGTAAGACATTTCTCTCCAGAGCCCTCTAAATTACAGAAATGGATTGAAAAGGCAGACTTTAGCAGATGAAAAATTTTACTAGTATCTCAAAGAAGGAAAGAGGCAGGAGGAGTAAACTACTTTAAAGGGAGCCATTTCGTCCTTGTAGGGCCCCAAAGAAGGCATGTGGAGGTGGCAGGTGCTTCAGAGTGGTGAGATGTGGCACAGAAAGCAGGGAGGCTGCCTCAAAGTCCGTGTTTATGGAAGAGTAATTTGTTCCCTCATCCTGATTCCTACACACTGAAAGTCAGCAGCCAGGCACCTACTCCACAGGCATAAGGCTGATGCTAACTCTGAAGGGAATGAGACAGGTTCAGGATTTGGGAATACCAGCTAGAACAGAGAAAAAGAGGACTCAA